CCAAGGTTAACATCACCACTCCTCCATCACACCCGCAGGCCAATCCTGAGCCGATCACCCACGGTCCCCTTTGTCAAGGTGCGAGGCCAGATTTGTCCTACTTTATGGTCACTGTCACTCCTCCTCGTTGCACTTTGTCAGAGGCGAGAAAATCACTTTAAATAGAGCATTCCGACGTCGTTGCGAGCAACCAAATGAGCGAGAAGAAGGAAGATACAATCACTACTTCCCCACTAATTGCACTGGCATAATCCTAGTGAAAGGTGTGCTAAATCTGCCCTCCATCCACCCTCAATCCAATCCAGTGAATACACCTTACTAGCTTCACTGTGAAAGGCTCTGTCCGATCTTTCCACTTTCTGAATGATATGTGCATGTCTACATATGCTAACGATGTCTATCAGTGACGAAGAACACACCAACGATTTTCTTTGTGCCACCTGGTAGGTGCACTGCACCCACTTCATCGGGTATAAGCGAAAGTAAAAACACATCTGGGATTTCCACGACAGCGGAAGGGAAAGGCCTGCCTTCTCTACCCTTAAATTCATTTCATCCTTATTATTATGGTAATGGCGCATTCAAAGGTAAGCTCATCATGTTTTGGAAGACCCTCAATTCGTGATGATTACGGAGTGATAATTTCCACTTGAGTTAGTCTTGTGTAAATGACAAACTGCGGTAGTGTGACACATGTCTTGCCTCAATCGCGAAAAGGAGAGTATGTAGACTAAGTGGATGGACATCACTCACCACCACTTACCTGCAGTGACAGCAGATGGTACCCACCGAATAGATGTTATTGGCGAAATAAGAGGTGTGTAGTGTGAGATGATCCCTCTATGCAGCGTGTATTTCTTGAGATCTTCAAGTCGACTTTAGGCTGTTCCCACATACCTTGAAATGGTGTTGTGCACTTGTGTGCTATCGGAGCCAGACAAGTTTCCAACTCCAGCAGTTGGGACACAGTGACTTCAATATTGAAGTCCCTATCTTCAACAGGGAGGAGTAAGTAGTGGCAAGTCTTGCAGAAGATCTAATATCATTTTAGAGGTAACTGCTGATGGGTATTAACGCCTAAATAATTTGTAACATGTTGTCACTTTGTTTCAGTTTGAGAAGAGGGGAAGTCCCTAGGTGCATGCTATCTGCTACCAGGCCAACTACCCCACCCCTGGGGAACCAGCATGCCTACATCCAGCCAAGATCTCAACAATCACTGCTTAAATGTCAAGGGCAAGGAAAAATGCAAGAGGACGCCTCATTCTGCCTGCTGACGCCATGGGATCTGACGATGTAAAATGCTATCACAATAGAAAACACCGATCTGGCCAGTGCATCACTGATGGTCACAAAGATGGTTAGTGCAGATCCGGTCCATGCCATTTCAGTGAAGTCATCACCATTCACTGAAAACGCCGTTAAAACCTGTTGGAGAAAGCTTATAACCCTTCTGACCTCATCATTCTTGCCAGGTGTATACACCAGACCACAGAAGATTCACCACGGTCAGCATTTGACATCAGCAATACATCGGAGAAATTTTTTGTCGACAACCGACTTGTCAACAGTCACTCACTCACCAGACCACTCTAGCCTGCAACCGTGCAGCGTTACCTCTTCGCCCGTGGCACATCCCTCCTTAGAACTGGGGTAAAACACTCCACATATCAAAAAAAAGATCCTCAGCTACTTTGCAATTGTCCACGTCACTTTGTGTGCAAAATGATGCTCAAGACAGTTGTTGCAAGACCTGCGTGTTGTGCTATGTCGTCTCACGGCGTTTCATTTCACAAGAAAAGGTACGTTTGATGTGGACTTCTTAACTCCTTTGTACCACTCAATGTGTGCGAAAGCTGTCCCCGATGATGGAGAGCGATGACTTGTCGCAGTTTTTCTCCTCGAATCTTCATCTTCTTCCCCCTCTGATGGAACATCTTGCAGAGGTTGTAGACTAAGAAGTGTCGATGAAAAACGCGGTAGATAATCCAGCACTAGCAATCATATCTGCGAAATCGGCTGACAACTGTCTGCAAGAAGTTGATCAATATGCCCACTTTCCTTCTCTCCTTCCTATACGGCTTTGTCAAGGATTCCACCACATTTATGCCGCGCAAAAAAGAGCGATGTCCAAGACTGGAACGCACCTGATATGCCAACTATGCCAATGATCAAGATTTACACGTCGTTTTTCTAAAGAAGATGACAGTGCGTCACCGCCACCACTTGAGGAGCTATTAGAGCAATGAGGTGGTGCCGAGGTCTCAGAGTCGCCTCAATTGCTTAAACCTAAAAAGGCACAGAAGGGATGTGCTAAAGAAATACAAATGGAAAAGAAAATCTGCACCAAATGTAGTTTCACTTCTGACTGTATGGATGTGATCTTATTCCACACAGAACAGGAGCACCCAACTGAGCGACATGTCATTAGTCGATTGCGTCATCGTGTCTTGAATGCTGAGTTCGATCCAGAAAGCCATCACCCCGATAACGCCGATGAGGAGGAGGG